GATGTTTTCAATGCACTGCTTGTTTAAGTATTTTAATGCTTAATATTCAACACATTGGGAGGATTAGCAATGATGTTAAATGTACCTGCCATCATATATTTAGGCTTTTCATCCATTAATTCATTTAGTCAATACTTATTAACTAGTGTCTGTGTACCAAATATTGTTCTAATAGCAACAATGGGGGAAAAGCTCATAGATTATCTTGCCTGGCACCTAAGAACAAATCAATGAATCATATCTACAAGAACTTATGAACATTTTTCTAATAGATCCCAGGATGTTGTTATGCTTGTTAATAGATCCGATCATAAGAAATATATTGTTAGCTGACTGCTTGCCTTTGCTAAAGCTATTGATGGCAGGAATATATTATTATTACTAAATACATTTCAGTTAATGAGTCCAAAATAAAGCTTAATAGACAGTCTTAATTTAAACAATTGGATTTGGATATAGAATTGTGGATAACTTATAAACAATGTTTTATTTAAAGTCAAAACCATGCTATTTCACTTTTTGAATTTTTAGTTGAAAATTGCCTTAGAAAGATTGTTTTTAAGTCGGTTTCAAAAACAGCGTCTGTTCCCACTGAAATTCAAACATAGACTGGAAAGCATTTCTTCCTGAAACCCCAGATGTCTCTTTTTTTCTGATAGAGCTATATATTTTTCTTTCAGGTTCCCTTGAAGTTGAATAAATTTTGCATTAAAGAATTAAGCATTCGACTTTTCTGTTGCATCTTATCTTTATCAGTAGAAATGGAATATTTAAGCTGAAGGTTAGATACATAGTTATACAAATCTATATACGCTCCAGAAATTTTTTATACCATTCCCATAAAATAGCTGTCTAATTATTTTAAAACCCAAGTGAAGACATAGCAACTCATAGAAGTAACTGGACAGGGGCCAGGGAGATAGGTCAGTAGAATAAGTGCTTGCCTGGCAAGCTCAGGGTCCTGGGTTCAACCCCCAGTACTACAAAAAAAAAAAAAAAAAGTAGAAGAAGCAACTGTGTAATCCCTAGTTTCTATTTGTGTAGCAAGTCCATACAATATGCTTCTCTAGAGTCACACTTCCACGAATAAATATGCTCTTCTTTTCTCCTGTTATTCAAAGTTAAGTGTAGTGTTATTTTACCATGAAGACTTCATCTGCATTAATGTGGGTACCTTAATGTATTTTAATAAGAGAGTCTTTCAAGTGATCTAGTAGGCATATAATATTACATAAAATGCTATCTGCATTTTACGGTGATGATTGTCTGTATTTAAATAAAATGAAATGTCAACCATGGCTTCACCTAAAGTGAATGTTACTACATTGAGTTTATAGAATATTTGGAAGAGCATTTAAATATTCTACATTTTAATTTGCTCTTTTCCCAATGCTTTACGTGCCAAGGTTGATGTAAATTTGACAAAACAAACTGTCTTGATGAATAATGATAAGGGAACTGTGAACGCCAAATACAAATTTTCCTTGTTCCAAGCAGTTTGTTCTTGGAGTTGAATGCGTACCAGAGTCACCTAGAAAGCTATCTAACCTGCAGATCTGTAGGCTGTCCTCTGACACCTTCTGGTTCAGGAGTTCTGGGACAAGGGTGAAGAAATTGCATGTCATATGAGTTTCTGGCTTACACAAATGGTGAAAAAAACATATTAAATTCCAGTAAGATATTCAGACAAAGTTTCTGAGATGTGACATGACAGGTAACTGCTCTACTTCAGGTAAGCCAAGTTATTGCAAGCTATGTGCTGGTTATAGTGGCTTAGCCACTGTAGCGCTCAGTGAGACACCCTTCCCAACATCAAAAGCCCTTTTCATGCATAGGTCTTAGAAAGACACAGTGTTGAGGTAGTAATTCAGCTTATAAGTACACTACCATCATGCACTAATGAATTCCATCCCAGGTTGCTGAGAAATCATCGCTTTGTCTTTACTCTTCATGCACACTCATGTGTTCATTAACAGCTGCACCTAGAAAGAGGATTTCCATGGAGAAGAGGTCGGGCAAATGGGTTATAGTCTTCTTAGCCTGTCCAGGAAAAGGATCTGATCAGTCTCTTGACTTACTAACATGAAAACCCAGTGCAGACATTCCTATGTGAAGTTGAATTCATATTAATTTCTTGATAAATATTTATACATTCAAGCTGTACCAATGAGTTATCTTTATTTCAAATATTCTCTCTATTATTCTATTTTCTTAAAATCTTTTGCCTGGGAGATGGCTCAGTGGAATAAGCGCTTCCCTAGCAAGCACAAGGGCCTGAGTTCAATCCCCGATTGGGCCAAACAAAACAAACCAAAACAAAAAAATCTTTTATGTATTTATATATTTGGTACAGGGTCTTGCCATGCAGATTGAAATCAGGGATCCTTCTGAGTTCCCAAGAGCTGGGATTATGGGCATGTGCCACCATACACTGATTTGGTGGCCAGTTTAGCATGCTCAGGAGCAGGGGCAGTAGATTGAATCCAAGTCCTTTCACTTGCCAGGCTAGTGCTTTGACCCCTGAGCTATCTCCCCAGTCTCTCTCTGGCATTCTTATGCATTTATTTAAATGAAATCAAAACGTTTCAAACTCTCTCTGCACTTAAATGTCAAGGCAAATATGCTATGTCTTCATCTTTAGCAAACATAATTTACTTCTTCTCTAATTTGATTAGGTTGAATCCTTCTTTGACTGACACCAGCATGGTTACACATTAAACTGCCATGTCATCAATAAACAGAAAGGTCTATAATAATAACAATAATTATAATGACTAACATCTTGCTGAACAGTACCTGAATATACATCTGAATGTAAACAATCCTATGAGAACATGCACTTTTAATATTTTAGGTTGAGTTCAATCTCTGCTACCACAAAAAAAAAAAAAAAAAAAAAAAAGGCATAGGAAGAAATCAAGTTTCAGAGACTTCACCTCTTTAATGTTATACAAAAAAAAAAAAAAGCAGAGAGTAAATTTGTCACTTCTATCTAACAAGATTCACTCCAGAGTTCCTGATGTCCTTACTATCTTAGATGATGTAGATTTTGTCCTGTGTTGGTGTATCATCAAACTACTTAAAAGATGACTAGGTAAAAACAATTAACCAGGCCACTAGTCTCTTGACAAATTTGAAATACTTGATAAGTAAGAATATATTTAATTTTAAAAAAGAATTATAAGTCAAAAGGTGTTATTCTGTTTTAATTTTAATGCATTGCCAACTTAAACTATGTGCTTGGTACAACCCAAAATTCTGTAACTATTAAAAGTTCTGAAATTACGTGTCCCACATTTGTTTCTGTTGTAAGTCACAAGGTGATGGTAAACCACTGGCAAACTGAAGTGAGTAGTTTTTTTATTTATTTAAAATTAAATTTGTAAAGATCAATGGGAATTACAAAAGAAGGAAGAAATATATTTTAAATATTTATATTACAGTAAAAGACACATTTGCCATTATCTCCCTCAAAATCTTTCCCCTGACCTCTAACATGCTCACCTATTATTCTTGTCACTTTCTGAAGCGGTTCTGGAAATCCTCTTTCCTGAGTGTTGCTATGAACTGTGATTAAAACATAGAGTGAATTCTGTAAAATGAAGCTAAAAGGCAGGCTGATAAAAAAAAAAAAAAAAAAAAAAAAAAAAACTTACTGCATGTCCCCATTCACCTTATTCACCCAATAACAGACTCAACTTCTGGCTCTTTTCTAAAGTTAAAATAGCTGTGAAAGGTAAATATTTTTAATAGATTCAAGATGTCAAGGCAGTCATCGGGACAATTCTCATAAAGGAAGACTGATCCAGCTGCTTCCAACAATGGAGGATGATTGGGTGAATGCTCGAGTACAGGAGAGCATGAGGGTGGGTTAAAGGCAGCGAATGTGTCCTTTGCTGTAATGCTTTTTGAAATTTAAGTGCAGGCTACATCTTCAAATCATAGCATATCAATGTTGAAACAGATGCAGGTTCAGAGTCATGCATGGCTCCATCTTTCTATAAACCTGCGAGCGAGCATTCGCTGCTACTTTTTGTTATCTCCTTTGATAAATCAGCATTTCTCCGTTAACTGTTGTTATGTTAAATCTATTATCACTTCAGCTACTGTGCTTGATTGGTACTTTTTGTAGAATTTATATTGTAGTTATTCATAATAAAATCTAAACTGCAAGTTTTACCTATTCTTTCTTGTCCAGAATCTCATATTGAACTAATAAATACCACAGAATCATAAATAGAGTTAATAAAAGTTTCTAAAAGTTCAAAAAATAATTTAGCATTGAATTAATGTAGCTGCAGATGAAACAAGCATACACAGTAGTAAATGTTTCCAAGTATTTACATCTATCCAAACTGTTCTCTGCACAGTGGTAATTCATTTAATCCCTATAATTTATTCATCTCAGGATAAATTCCAAAGGATTGTTTACATATGTTATCCACTAGCTTTAAAAACAGTGCTAATTATTGGGAGAGAGCAAATGCAACTCATCAGAAAGGCTTGTTGCACTGATGTGGCACTGAGGACCCCACTATTTGGCAAAGACTTGCAACCTGATGAGTGAAATGATGGAGAGCTATGAGGATTCAAGATTTAAGTTCTTTTCTTCCTAAGTTCTCTGGAAAGCGGTACTATCATCACTGTAAAAATTCCAAGTCTCATTATACAGTCCTGTAAACACTCAATTTAGAAACAATTTTGTAAGTGTCCAATTGAATTTCCAACTACACTTCACTTGGGTATTTAAAATCACAGGCAACAAATGGGCACACAGGTAATGTTCTTCATTTTCATCATCTTATCAAGGTGAGGTTATTAAGGGTTGGATTTTTCTACGTGTTCTTGGTACAAGCCACCCATGACAATTTAGACAACCGATATTGTCTTTGGTCTTGGGGCCAAAGTTTCCAACCACAAAAATGGTATTACCAAGCTTTAAAGGGCACTGGAAATATTTTGTTTTGGTCGGAAATTCTGATGTTAATTTTATGTTCCAGGTCATTCAAACAGTAAGCGCCATGGACAAAGATGATCCCAAAAATGGACATTATTTCTTATACAGTCTTCTTCCAGAAATGGCCAACAACCCAAACTTCACCATCAAGAAAAACGAAGGTAAATGTACACGCTTTGCAAAAGAAGGTCAAATGTAAGTTGGGAAATAGAATGCAGTTTTGCAACATAGCAAAAATTACTCCTAAAATTACATCTCCTTGCCATGAGCAGCAGAAATCTAGTTTATCAGCCTAACGGCAAGACAATTGCATCCCTTACTTTTCCAATATTGAAATAATAGATAAAAAGTATTCACATGGAAATTAATTTTATCCCAGGGAATATCTTAATCACCTTACTTTATAAAATGAAGAGTATAATTTAACCCCTGTCAAAGTTCCAAGAACTTTGAGACTTCGATATCGGTCAGAGGAGAAACTGGCTTGCGCTTTGCGTTGATAAATTTTAATTGAATGTTTACCAAGTCTTTAGAGAATGTCCGTTCTAATTTTCTTGGTTTGTGGGTACACATTAGAATATTTGTTTAAAGCCTGCACTGACTGTAATAATGGCAATTAGATCAGAAAATCCTTCTTGAAGGGCATTTCTTATCAATATTATTTTGGAGCTAACATAAGCTAATTTTATTGTTAAGTCTTTCACTCACAGAGAATATTTAATTCATTATGTTGTTTCTTGAGAATGAGACTGGATTACTACTTTTTAAAAATATAGCCTATTTCATATGAAGGTTATAGATCAGTTTTTCATAAGCCTATATGATGTATGAATTAATTTTCTCAAATTCCTATATATTTAACAATGACTTTTGACTTTAATTTGATTCTAATCCATTTGAATTAGGTGTAGTTGTTTGAAGAACATCCACAAAGTATAAGTATTGTTTTGGGCTGTTTTCTTGGTCTACTGTCAGCATAGGTTTCATTTCTGACTTGTTTGTATACCAGTTATGCTCAGAAGTGTCAAATTTGGTGCATGAAATTTGTATTTTTTAATATGTCCCATCACATGTAGGTGGTAAATTTTTTGAGAATATTCCTCTATTCAGTAACATTTTATGGTACATAGCCAATATATTATGGCCTTACTTTTACCACAATACTGTTAGTTCTTGGGTTTGCTGTGATAAAGAGGTTATTATCACAGAGAACAAAATGAGAAATCATTCTATAGGTATCAACTTGTATGTCATATTATAAACATGAAAGTGGGAAATAGTGTTCTCTCTTATCAAAAACAGATTATTCATTTGTTAGTCACCCTTAATTAGGAATTCCAACCCAAGAACATATTTTTCTCATCTATTAATATTGCCAACATTTATCCCGTAAGAGAGTCACATAAGTTTATCTACGTGACTTTTAGATAAGTTTATCTAAAACTCTGCTCAGAAACTTCAAGTTGAGCTGAACTTTATGAATTCTATGCTGAAAGTTTATGATTGTTTGGACAGTGAAATAACAAGTATCTGAAATTATTTTTGCATATGAAACACCCTAAATGAAACAATCCTCATGAAAAAAAAAAAAAAATGTCTTCTACTCCAAATGCTGAGGGGCCTCAGATGTTTTCTGTCCATCCTACAATTTTAAGATGTGCTTGTTATAGCTCTGCTCTGAAAAAAGCTACACAAAAAAGCAGTGGATGAATGAATAGCCTTAAGTACCAGGGGAAGTATAATTTTGACCTATAATTTAAAGCTAAGGATAGGTTTAATCTTGGCCTGGGAAGCTGAGTGGACTCCGCGACTGCTTAGGCAAGGTTCCGGGACCTGGACTCAATTCCCTGCACCGCATGCTCCACTGGCCTTGCCTCTGGGTGCCCTAAGCAGGTTACTGACATCAGGCTTGGTGAACCATGCTTGTAAACCCAGGCTAGGGAGGCTGAAAACAAGGAGGATCACTACGAGGCCAAGCTGCCTAGTGAGACCTTGTACCAAATATACAAAATTCAAACAAAAGAATAGGGATATTCTTATAATGGGTCAATTAATTTTTGGAATAATGAGAAAGAAGGAGTTTGTGGCCATAGGAAACTTTTTCGATCATATAGTTCACTAAATACTGTAATAGAACTTTTGAAGTCATGTAGATTATTTGTGTTGACACTAGACATAGTAGTTGTATTAGCCAGACATGGGGGTACACATCTGTGATCCCAGAATTTGGAAGGCTGAGGTAAAAGGATTGGTAAAAATATGAGGCCAATCAGAGCTATGTAGTAAGTATAAAACAAACCTGTGTGCTACAAAGAGTGAAAAAGTCTTAACATTTTGAAGTTCTCATTTTAACTTTTCTAATAGACTTTTGTCATTTGAAAAATTAAAAATAATGTAAAGTGACTTGATACATATGACATTCTGTGATGTGATTATTTATTTTAAGTTATATGTTCATTTGTTTTGCAAAAAGTGACCATATAATTTATTATTGCAACTGGGTATTTTTTTTTAAAGCAGAAGCAACTGTTGTTTATATTTATGTCCGGAAAACATCATAAACAAGGCTGTCTAGTAGAAAGTAGGACATATGATCACAGTGATTTTGGATTTAGAAACCAAATATTCAACAGCTCCTCAAAGAGTAAATCATGAACCCGGATGTCTTTGGAAAAGATATGTAAAGTTTATGCAGTGTTTTCTTGATGTAGACCAGAAATTCATGGTTCTCTTTGCTCCACAGTCCACTACTTTCTCACCTGAGTAGTTACTGTTAAGACATAAAAAGAATAACGTATTCCTCCTTAATATGAGAAATGATTAACATAATGGAAAGGAGTAGCGCATTTTACAATCTTGGTTTAGGTAGGTAGGTAGGTAGGTAGGTAGGTAGGTAGGTAGCCAAATATTTTGGGGGCCTGTTGCCAATTCATCATTAATAATGATAGAACACGAAAACAATGAAACCTCTAAAATTCTGGTACTTGCACATTTTATGTTAGAATTACAAAGAAATAAAATCAAATTGTATATCATATTTGAAATCAATTTTTCTTCTTATTGTGGACTATAACACTGTCAGAAGATAATGTTTGTTCCCTGAGGTTATTATGAATTACAAATTCCAGCCGCCAGAACAAAGTAAGGATTTTGAGGCTGGGTAATATATTCACACCTGTAATTTATGGATGGATTCTTCTCCTGTTTAATTTGATCTTTAAGGGAAGTACATCCAAGTATTTGGTATTTTCTATGGAAAATTCAACCACCTTTTCAGATCAAAATTACTGTGATTTTTTTCTTCTCCTTTGTATTGTTTGTTCCTAATGTAATTTTCAGCTGACTAATTCATAATCAAAGAGAAAACAAAAGAAAAATGAACTGTCTCTTCTATTACACACTTGTGTTATTTCACAAGTAATTCCCCTTCTAAATACATGAGAATCCTATTTCTGACAGAACAGAAAGGCAACTTTCAATGTAGAGGAAAATGAAAGGAAAGATGAAAAGTATGATGAGTCACTTGTGACATGTACACACCAAAACAATCATAGCACCCTGAACTTTTGAATGATAGAGTTCAGACATTGGTTTCTCCATCTTCCAGTTGGGTGAATTTATAAACAAAGAGGTTTGCTGACCACTCTTCTAAGTGTGGAAATGGAAAATACCCAACAAGTCAATGTAACAAGGCAGGAAAGATAAAGGGACCTTTTACTGATTCTGAAGTATCTTGCTTGCAGGAAATTTGAGGTTTGCACAAACCTCCTCTTCTCCAGCCTATACATTATAGGAAAAAAAAAACACCAAACTTTTAGTGGAATGTAGAAGGCACCGTGTGGTGAGATAGGAATCCTTCTGGCATACACTGAAATGTTGGAATCATTCATACAGATAAATGTGAGAAAGCAAAAAGCCTCACTCTCTAAGGACAGCCTTGGAAAGGAGAGGACTAAACAGGAAACCTGGTCATGCTTAGGTCTTGTTTATGCTTGAGAGGAGACTGTAGTGATCACAGACTCTAAGGATAGGATGTGGTTTCTCTTGGTTGATATTTCTTTGCAGACTTAAATTTTGTTGATAAGAAGCTCATTCTTTTTAAAAATTTATTTATATATTTATTTATTTATTTATTTGGTACAGGGTCTCACTGCACAGCTCAGACTTGTAGTGATCCTCCTGTGTCAACCTCCCATGAGCTGGGATTACAAGCATGCACCATCATGCCTAGTTTCAGTGGCTGGCACAGCACAGAACCAGCACATCATGTAATACCCGGGATCAAACCTGGGTCCTTGTGCTTGCCAGTCAGGCTCTTAGAGTGCTGAGTTCTCTCCCTGGCCTAAAAGTTCATTCTGAAGGCATTAATTGCAAAGTCAATCTGAACAATGTAGATGTTAATAAAAACTTTGGAGTATGCATGCCTTGTGCAACCTCAGTGTCACTAATATAGGTATCATTTCAGTCTATGATCCAGGATTTATCTTTAGAATTTTTATGTCAAGTGAAGAACATGGCTCAACTATATCCATTTATCATTTATTTTTCCACCTCTAGATGCATCACTTGTAAAAATATCCTTATTCTGGATAAAATCACTGTAAGTTTTAGTTTCTCCTTCTGGTATGAGGATAACAGTTCTTACCTGCTCGTTTGTATGCAGTGATAGATGTGTATAACCTGGACTTCTCAGTTGCAAGAAAATCACGTGGCAATAAATGGCACAGAATCACTTTCATAGGAATCTAATAGTCCTTAATTTCTCATGTTAGGTTATATATCCTCTGGCATATCATTTTCAAACAAGTTTCTTCATACCTTTTTCTCTAGAGACTCTTTTAATTTTTAGCAGTAATTTTGAAAGGACTTTCATCAATACTTGTCAAGATCCTGGAGCCAGGGAGATATCTCAGTAGAATAAGTGCTTGCCTGGCAAGTGCAGGGTCCTGAGTTCAATCCCCGGTACCACAAAAAAAAAAAAGAGCCTCTCCCAATGCCAGCAAGAAAACTGCTTCAAAATATTATAATGTGTTACAGTCTAAAAGATGTAATGGAAAGACACAAAAAACATTTTAAAAAGGAGTAGAAGAAAAAACAAGGAGGAAGAGGAAGAAGAAGAATCAAAATACTTAACCAACCATAGAAAAATTAGTATGATTGT